TTCCTGCCCCCGCCCCGCGCCGCCGCCCCGCGCCCCGCCTCGGCTCCGCGCTCTGCAGTCGGGCTGGGGCGCCACGCGGGGAACCCCGCGCGTCCTCCTCCGGGCCACCCTGGTCCCCACCCCAGGCCGGCGGAGAGCTAGGTCCCCGGGCAGGTGAGTGACGGCGCGACCCCGCTCCGGGAGAGCGTGTGGGCTCCGAGGTCCCCTCCGGACTGGGGTCTGAGCCCCCTGGGCGGTGAGTGGGGACAGAAGCGAAGGGGTGGGCCCTGGGATGGGGTCGCCATCCATGATGAAGCGACGGGGACACGACATGCACACGAGGCTGCTTCGCCGGCCCTGCGGGGACTGAACAGGACAGCCTGCAGCCGCTGGCCGGTCCGGGGCTGGAGGGATAGGCGTGCCGGGTCCTCTGCTTGGCCGAGGGGCCGAAAGAGCGCCCGGGGGAGTCACGGCTGCTGGGTCCCATCTGCCCCGCCCCTTACAGCTGTAGGACCCGGGCCGGAGATGTCAGGGCCAGCCTCAGCCTCGCTTCTGTAGGGGGAGGACGAACGCGCGCCCACCCCGGGGTCCTGGCCGGCTGCGCGAGCGCGCGCGCGGTGCCAGGTCAGCGCTGGTCGTCAGGGAATGCCGGGGCAGGGGGTAGGGGAGGGACCCGGCCTTGCTGGCCCCTGGTGCGCAGAGCTTCTCCAGTTTTCAGGACTAGGAAGTGGACCGAAGACCCCAGGCACTTGAGCCCTCAGAAGGCGGGTCAGCTGGGGATGACCCCGGGTGGGCTGCGCCAAGGCTGGAGGGGGGGTGGGGTGGTGGGGCCAGCTCTGGCCTCCCCTAGTGGACTCTGCTTCCCCCGCCTTTTATGAGTGGCCTCTCCCGGGGCTGGGCTGTGACCCCAGTCCCCGGGGACGGGAACAGCTTGTGCTGGCTGGAGGTTCCCAGGCTCGGCCAGACTCGGCTCCAGACAGGACCCCGCGAGGGCTCAGCTCTGAACTCTGGCCTCAGCTGGGCCTGGGGGCTGGGAGCTGTTCCCTGAACCCCACCCCACCCCAGTTTATGATATGGGGCCCGTGTGTGAGCCAGGGTGTGGGGGCAGCCCTCCTGTGCCTGTCCTCTGCTGCTGCCCGTCCCACTTCTGAGGCCTTGTAAAGCCCACCAGGCGGGTGGCCGGCCTGCTGGCCGGGAGGCGAAGCCTGCGGTTGGCATGTTTCCCCACTGCCCCCCGCTCCCTATCAGACCCTCCCAGAAGAGGAAATGCTCCCAGGCTGTGCCGTGCCCGGCGGGAAGCCCGGGTAGATACAGGTCACTGGCCGCTGCCCGTCCCCTCCCCCCGCCCACTCCCACTGGCAGAGCCGAGGCCAGGCCTGGCCTCCAGCAAGGGCCCCCAGCCTCTTCTTCTGGGGCCCTGAGGAGGAGGGCTCCTGGGGTGCGGGAGCAGCCCTAACTCTGGGAGGTGTTGGCACCACTCCCGGCACAGGACGTTCAGGAGAAGCCAGCAGGAGGAGGGGACAGGCAGGGGGGACAGACAGACGGACGGAGATACAAAGACACAAATATGGAGAGAGGCTGAGCCCCAGAGACTCCTGGGAACGACGCAGCCCAGAGGGAAAAGGCCGAGGCAGAGAGCAGAGCGGGGCCCAGAGGGAGCACAGGAAGCGGGGGCGACAGGGGGCAGGACGAGGCCGCGGCGAGGGGAGGACCCCGGCCGCAGCCCCCCGAGGCTGGCTGCGCCCCTGGCAGGCACCTCGCGCTCCTGGGTTTTCCTCATCCACTGGGGGGGGGCACCTACGTTCTAGGGCTGCTGAGAGGAGGGGCGGGACCTGCCCAACACCCACAGCTGACAAGGGCGGGAACCGGCGTGACCGGGGTCCCCGGAGAGAAGCGGGGTGGGTGGGCCCTGGGCCTCCTGGGCGCCCTTCCCCGCCTCTGCCTCCCACCCGCCTGGAGCCTGGTCCCAGGAGGAGGCGTGGTGGGCAGGAGAGGCGGCACCCCTCCTCTTCAGGTGACTCGCTGGCTCCACCCCGCAGGAACCCCGAGGCCGGCCCCGAGGAGTTCCTGCCGAGGTCAGGGGGTCAGGTCTGGAGCCGCCTTTCACTCGGTAGGTGCAGGTGCGGTGCGGGTGATGTTGGAAGTTCCTTCCGACTCCGCCTTCCCGCCTCTCGCTGACACTGTGCCGGGGATGCCACAGCCTCCAAACCGTCCTCCCTCGGTCCCCTTGCCTGCAGAGTGAGGTCCAGGCTACTGGAGTTGGGAGGGGCCTCGGCGTGCGTGCCCATCGCTCCACGGCCAGGCACCCCAGGGGCGTGCGTGTGGGCGCTGGCGGAGCCGGGGACGTGCGCCGACCCCACGAGCTCCATGCCGGTGGGGAAGGTGGTCCTTAACAAAAATGTCATGGCCGTGGGGTGGAGGGGATGTTGGGGGGCCGCCGACCCGCTAGTGGAGCCTCAGAGAGGAGGAAGCCTGAGCGGGGGGAACCCAGCCTGTGGGAGCCCAGACTCACAAACTGGCAGTCACGAGATGGGGTTCCGGCTCCTGGTCAGCCCGTCAGACTCGGGGTGCTCCAGCAGCTGTGAACTGCCGGCTTGGCCTGGAGTAACCTCTCCTGCCCCAGAGGGGACACTGGTGCTGACCTTTGCTTGGGGTCTCCAAAAGAGTTGGTACATGCCTAGTTCAGAGCTGGCCTCAGGGCAGGATTGGGGTCTGGAGGTCCCTGTGGTGATGAGGGCAGGGAGGAATGGGTGAGGCCTGGTGTCCTCAAAGGGGCCACCAGCCTGGAAGGGCAGGTAGGACCGGGGCATTCGGGGTGGCCGGGCACAGGCGGCCGTGTTGTCAGAGGGGGCGCAGGCAGTGGGCTGTCTCTGTGATCACCGTGCAGTGGCAGAGGCCACGGGGCTGGACCCCAGGGGTCTGGGCCCTGGGCCCCCTTCCTTGTCAGGGGGCCCAGAGGGCATTACGGAGGGTGGTGGCCGGAGCAGAGCTGTGCTTTCTGGGGGTGTCTTGGGTGCAGGTGATGAGCACCCATGGGTGGGGGCCAGAGGGGAAGGAGCTGCCTGTGGCCTGTGTCACCCGGGGGAACCACCCTCCACCCACTGCTTTGGTATTTGAAGCAGAGTTGAGTCCTGTGTTTGCCTCTGACACCCGAGACCCCGTGGTCTAGCCAGGGAAGTGGGGTCGGAGGTCACCAGCACGGTGGGAGGGGGCGAGGGTCGGGCTGGCCCCGGCACCCACCTCCGGGAGGCTTGGCGTGGATGTTTGGTGACTCAGACCCCTGAGCCCCGCTCTTTCCTGATGAGTAAACAGGTCGGGTAGGGGACCCTCAGCTTCTGTTTCCTGAGCGACAGAACACAAGGCCGGCCCCTCACCCCTGCCCCCTTCCCGCCCGGCCCCCGGCTGGCCGGCAGGCTTCCTGTCCCTCCATCCGGCAGGCTCGCCCGGCTGGCCGGCTGGCGGGGCCGCTGCGCGGTGTGAGCGCGTGAGCACACGTGGCCCCCGAGGCGTGGAGCAGAGCGGCGCAGGCCCTGGCAGGGCCCCGTCAGAGTGTGTCCCGCGTGGGACGGAGAGGGGTCCTCGGACTGGGATCTCGCTGCTCAGTGGGGGGCACCGTGGGACCCTGTCTCCGTGGCAAAGAGAATTAGGAAAGGGAACAGGGGAGCAGACACAGACAGCGGGGTGACCTCGGCAGCCGAGCCCCCGCCCCTTGTGTGGGTGATGCTGGGGGGGTGTCCCTTTCACCCCGGAAGGCGGACCCCGAGTGGTGGGCGGACGACATGACCGCGTGGCCCCTGACACCGTGCGGTATGGGCGGGGAGCGCGGGCAGAGGCAGCGGGGGGCCCAGGAAGGGAACAGAGGCAGAAAGTGGGGTGTCCGGTGAAGACAAGATGAAAGGGAAGGGAAAG